TCTTCTAGTTTCATTTTTCTCTTTCTTTGGAACTTTCAAAAGCCCAATCTGGAGGTATTGGCTGAATAGTTTGGCTTGCTGTTCATCAATAGGATCGGTTGGGTCTTCTGAGAAGGGTCCATAGATCACTTTACGTGGTGGTAAGAATTCCTCTTCTTCTATTCTTTTGGCCTTTTCCTTCCTTCTTCTTTTTGCGTCAGCTGTCTGCCCTGCTGGTGTGTACCTGACAGGAGATTTGGCAGTCCTCTTTGCTCTTTGAGTTTGTGTAGATGTTTCCTTATAAGTTTCATAAAAAACAAACATTGATCAGTCACCCATAAGTTACTATTAGTTACATTGGCAAAGTATAATTGACATTAATATAATATTTATAACTTTTCACTGAAGTTATTGTCATCACCTGCACTTTGCTTCCAACTTTTTGGTTCACCTGTTCCTTCTTTTCTCCAAACACTTGTCTTTCAATCATGTCTACATTCATACACAAATCTCTAATGAATTGTGTATTTTCTTCACTCCAAACTGTATCAACATCTTCGTCATCTCTGTCATTTCCCCTTTTCTTGTTTTTTTCTGCTCCACTGTTAGTTTTTGTCTGCATAATTTAATAAAATTATTTGCTATGTCATTTTAGTGCATTTATGATGTTATATTGTATGACAGAATGCAACTATTGCCATTTTTTGGCAATTATGGTGTTGTATTACCTTTTCATTTTCTTTAGAACCACTTCTGTTCAACCTCGCTTCTTCTTCCTTATCATTGCTCTTCTCCTATAACAAACAATCATTTCTTCTCAATTATATATTAAATACAATTATATATATTTAAATCTAATGGAAATTTAATTGCTTTTTTCTCAATTATATATTAAATACAATTGTTTCACATGACAAAATATGACATGTATTACCTGGACCTCTTCTTGGGTATCTCCTACAGTGCTTTTACTTCCATTGCCAGCTGTGGCTATCTGTTCATCATTCTTATTCTTGTCCTATAATACACATGTCATGCATAGAAACCAATGAACAATATAAACTTGAAATTAATTAATTTATGATTACCAAATCAATATTTTGCTGTAAGACCCCTTCATTCTCACTGCTTCCACTTTCTTCTGTTTCTGCTTCCATATTTGATATTTTAAAACCGGGTCCACTGCAAGGTGTGGGGATGACTACATTGTCTGTTGCCTCATCCTGGACTTGTGGTTGTTTTGGTGGTTCTTCATTTGTTGCTTCTGCATCAAGTCCATTGTTGTTGATACTTTCAGTCTGCTTTTCACTTCCAGCCTTGTTGCCATCTATCAGTTCTTCAGCTCTAGATGCCTTTCCTTCTGTATTCATCTTCTTCACGTTCTTTGAAAGTTCCTTCATCAAACGAATCAGCTTAGTTAGCATCACCTCCTGTTTGTTTTGCTTGTTCTTCAAATCCCTTAACTCTGCCATCATCTTGAAATTTTGTTTTACTTGTTGGTCAAATCTCCTCAGCATCATTTTCTTCACTCCCCTCTTGGAAATCTCTTCTTCACTTTCCTCATAACTCTCATCTTCATCAGTTTCCTTTGACGCTTTCCTTTTAGTTGCTTTAGAGCTGCACTCTGGTTTGTCTTTCTGTGTTTTCCCCTTTGTGCTTGCAAACTTACCCTTTTTGGTGTTAACTAGAACTTCTTTTGTTCTCAGTTTGCCCTTTCCCTTTGCTGCCACTTGTTTATTCTTCCTCTTTTCTTTACCATCTGCTTTAATCACCTCCAGTAATCCTAGTTCTTCATCTAGTAACCTTGCTTCAGCAACACCTTGAATATTTTCCATCTCTTGTGCAGTTGGCACTATGCTCTTCCACTCAAACTGTAAACACAAAGCACAAATATTTCTACATTACAGATTTCTTCATTTATTAAGCATATGTAAATTTAAAAACATATAAATTTCAATTACCTCATCGTTATCAAATATAAGGTCACAGAAGATTTCCATGGATGGTTTTTTCTGGAAAGCCCATTTCAGTGTTCTTGGGATCACATTTTCTCTGCCTTCAATAATGCTGCACAGCCCTTTGTTAGCTAAAATTGGGAATGTTTCAAAAGCCCAGATTTGAAGTACATGCATGCATCCTGGGAATGCAACTCTATTTCCTCCACACACATTCAGTGCCTGTGCACTTCTATTGATGTTTGTAACCAAGTCCTCCCACACATCATCCCCCCAAGGATATACGTTGAAGGCTTCAATATCATGGACTAACTTTATGTACTTTGCTGGTAATGGTCTAGACATTTGGTGTCCCAGTAAACCATGTGCTAGCACATAAAGCAGTGCTAACTTCAAACCATCTTCCTTTTCTATGTGTGGATCACCATGGTTATAAGCCTCCAGAGCACTTATCACATCTTGTCTTGTAATTACTTGCTTATTGCCAAAATGCCTTCTACAGAAATTTCCTTGTAACTGAATATCGCCTTGTAACTGAACATTTCCTATCGTTCTGTCACCACCAACCTTCAGTCCTAGGAGCAACGCCATATCTGATCTGGTAAAACTTATTACACTGCTTCCTATGTGAAACCTTATCACACTAGTTTCAGAAATGTTGTTAAATTCCTCAATATAGCTCCCTGCAAGTGCTATGCACAACTGCCCACTCAACCTTGGCATCTGTTCAATGTCAAGCATCCATCCAAAAACTGTGTTTTTGAATGCTATTAATTCCTCTTCACTCAGTTGCCCTTTTATTTTTTTTGCTACTTCACTTAGATTGCTATTGGCATTTAGCCTCAACTTGTCCAAACTTCTAAGCAGTCCAGTTTCACAAGTGCGACTGATAGTCTGTATTTAAACAAATTTTATTACTATTAAGTATTTCCATTCATTCAAAACAAAATCACAATTTGAACATTTGGCACTCTTAGCTTACACATGGTTATTGTAAAACATTGCCTAATTACACATTTGAAACACTAATATTTGGAACTTTTGCATGATTGAGATAGTCTAAAACATAGCAATATTAGAAATCATTGAGTTACTCAATAACTTTTATTTTTCAGTAAACATTTGATAACAGTTTTTGTCAGTAAACATCCTACGACTCTAACATTTGTCAGTTTTTGCCACATTACAGTTAGTTTGCCATAATACTTCTTATTCAACACATTGACTATGTCATGACACATCTTTCAATTCTATATTTGGCAATGATTTCAAAATACAGGTAGTTTGACACAATAATTCTTCTTCAAGTCACTGACTTTGTGATGACACATCTTTCAACCCTAATAATTGTCAAATTTTTCCATAGTATAGTTAATTTGACAGACTTCTTGTTCTTCAAGTCATTGAGTCTGTAATGACACACTTTGTACACCTAACATTTGTCAGTTTTTGCCACATTACAGTTAGTTTGCCATAATACTTCTTATTCAACACATTGACTCTGTCAAGACACATCTTTTAATTCTATATTTGGCAATGATTTCAAAATACAGGTAGTTTTACACAATAATTCTTCTTCAAGTCACTGACTTTGTGATGACACATCTTTCAACCCTAATAATTGTCAAATTTTTCCATAGTATAGTTAATTTGACAGACTTCTTGTTCTTCAAGTCATTGAGTCTGTAATGACACACTTTGTACACCTAACATTTGTCAGTTTTTGCCACATTACAGTTAGTTTGCCATAATACTTCTTATTCAACACATTGACTCTGTCAAGACACACCTTGTACACATAATATTTGCCATATTTTCATAATTCACCCATACTCATAGAATATATTATTATTCATACTTTGGCAACATTAACATTGTCAACTTTTGCCCTAATTTAAATACTATAAAACATGATTTAAGTATTACAAAGTGAATTGACAATAACTCTCTCAAATCAGTGACATTAATACACTTATTACACATAGAATATAAACATTACAGACAACTTTACAACACCTACACAATACATAGCACGACATGCACACAACTTTCATTACATTTGCACTTTCTATTGTCAATGATGATTTAAACATTACAAAATTCATAAATGGACATGGTTAACATCGCTTTAACACTTATATTTCTTCTATAGTGAGTACAACATACCACTTCGTTGTTGATTCTGACTTTTTGGCCATGTGATTGAAAATCCGAATCAGCCATGATATCTGCTGTTCTTATCGCGAAGTTTGTCCTTCTTCAGGCAAATATCGTCCTTCTGGCCAAGTTTTACTCTGTAATCGTCACTTCGTTCTCTCTATGGCCAAGTGTTGTCAGTTTCTCTCGAGTGTTGTGCGCGGTTGGTTGTGTTCTCCAGGTTCGCGCTTTAATGGAGGCAGTTGTTATTTTACGCGAATGGGAGATGTTTTGCCGGCTTCCCGTTCTTTTTTTTTAAAATCTTGCTTTACCTATGTACCTGTGTAGCCGGTTACTTCCACCTGCTCAGCACGTCCGCAGCACGCGTGATTCCAAAACGGTAATACCTTTAGCTTCATTAGGGGCATTATGGTCACTTGCATATAATTTCCGTGTCAAACGTGGTTGACCAAGTAGGACTCCTATTTTGGAATAGGTTCTATGTTGTACTCCCATATTGGTAATTTTCTCTATTGACTTGGGTTATCAAATTTGAATCATTCCTCTTGGTGGAAGAACTTACATTGTTAGAAAATTAAAGTACATGGCCAGTCAAGCTGGGGCGAAGAATTTTAACACCCCTTTAAAAACGAACGATTTCAACAACAAATAGACAGATGTCGTTTATAGTTCTTAGTAATCAAGTCTATCAACTTCAATCTAAAAAACACGTTTTAGTATATAACTGTGAGTGGCTAAATGAAATGAGATTTTTTTTTAGTTAAACAGATCAAAAACACATAGTATAGTAGTACTACATAATATTACGATAATACTTAGCTTGTATAGTTGTACGTACGTACAATAATGGACATTACATTACATTGTTAAAATGTGCGACCATGAGAATGGAAAGGACAAAGTAGTAGATGAGAATAGATGTAGCTGCTAATTAATTACGTATAGTATGTATGCACATCGTCCTGGATCATGAATCATCATCAGGAATCTGCAGATGGGATGTTGGGGTTGGGAAGTTGGTCATCGAACACGTCGTAGTCAATGGGGAAGTCCTCATCCATGAAGGAGGTGTGGTGAGGGATCAGCGAGTCGTAGTAGTAGTAGTCATCGTTATTAGTCGCCGCCGTACTGCCACAACACACGAGGCTTTCATCTGCTGCTGGTGGGGCATTTCCAAGAGCATCCAACAAGGCCAGATCGTCACCGTCCCCGAGTGTGGTGGTGGTGGTGAAACAAGCTTCCCGTCGCTGCTGCGGGCACACATTAAAGCCGGCCCCGCAGCAGGTGCAAGGTGCGGTCTCTAGCCCTAAACGGCCCGGCGGCTCGAATGGGAACCACGCAGCTGGATCCTGCGGCAGCATCGGGATTGAGGTCCATTCCGAACACGACTCTTCTTCATCACATCTCGACTTCTCCTCCTCCTCCTTGAGGGCGGCGGCGGCGGTAGTGGTAGAAGAGCGGGAATTGACCCTGGCAAGTCTCTTCCGCCTGCTGCTCCAGAAATTCTTGACGTCGTTGTCGGTTCGCCCGGGCAAGTAGGTGGCTATTTTGGCCCATTTGTTCCCGAACTGCCCCTGAAGGTCGATGACGATCCTCTCCTCGTCGGCGGAGAACTTGAGGCCGGTTTTCAGGTTGGGGCGGAGCTTGTTGACCCAGCGGAGGCGGCAGGACTTGCCGGTGCGCTGAAGGAGGCCTTTGGATCGAATGGAGCTCCAGTGCCTGGGGCCGTGCTGCCTCACGTGCTCCAGCAGCACCTCATCTTCCTCCGCTTTCCATGGCCCTTTCTTCAACTCACTCCCTCCTTCCATAATCACTTCTCCACTCATCATCATGCAATACAATACCTGCTCGATCCCTACGTACTACTGTATAATGTCGTCTATATCCGACCGGCCATCTTCCTTTCTAAATGCATGAGTAGTAAGTATTTTCAAAAAAATAAAAAATGCTGCGGCGGCTGGCTTCCTTGCTTTTCTCCAAATTGAAATGGATCCATGTGCCACTAACCGCCTATTATTCAGCCCACATTCCCCATTACATGCACGTGCCCGGCCCCTCCCCACCCGCCACCTAAATGAAATGAGATTATTACGGAGTAGTTATAACCATCAGGCACCTCTAGCTATTATCCTCTTTATGTGTTTTTCTTTATGATCCCAAGGAGATCTTTTAAAAATAAGAGAAACTCATTAATATAATTTCTTCATTCTAAGAAGTGTAAAGTTAAAGCCACATACATACTACTTCCATCCCTTTTTATTTAATCATCCTTGATTTTTCCAATCAAATGCGATTAATTTTGTACTTTTTTGATAATATTTTTTTCATACCATTGTCATATTATCAATATTACTGTGTATAAATGTGTAATCGGTCAAAATTTGACTTCATTTACTTTAAAAATAGTGTTTGATTAAATAAAAAAGGATAGAGGGAATACTAAATTTGTGCAACAACCAATCAGCCATGCATTACATGTAAAAAGAAAATATTCCATTTGTCGACCCACGACTGTTTGTCATTTTCACTTCGTGTCCCTATCATCCATTTTCCCCTCGTCCTTCCAACCTCTTGCCTTGCTAATTCTCATACTATTGGTATAGTAGTTGATATAAATGGGGATAAAGACGATGTCAACTTAAATTCCACCATTTACCACAAATACTATTACTACTACTAATTACCATATCAACATTTTTAGAGTTAAATTGAATTTGTACTGAATTAATTAACACTATTTTTCCGGGTTATGTACTCTACTGCATACAATATAATTAATGTACTCTTTTGACATTTTCCTCAATAAAAACTAAGCAGACTACATATTTTTCCCCTTTTTCTGAGTCGAATAAACGTATCAATTTATTTTATTTATACAAAAACATCTTCTGATAGATGTATCAATTTTTATACAGAAATACCCAAAAATATTAATAAAAGTCTTAAAAAAAATTCTAAAACTTTTAATTTTGTATTTGAGTATTGTTTTCTATATTCATTTAAGATCTTTTATCCAAAAACTTAGAGTACTTGGACTTTTAATTTCTAAACTATATTTGTTTGACTTGTTTCTCATTTCAAATTAGTGACTTATTGATTATATTTACATTTCGAGATGGATTAATTCAAGGGCGTAGCCAAGAGTAAGAATTGGATTGGGCCGGTAAAAAGAATTTTTACAGATAGATTTTTACACATAAATTTTTACATTGAAAATATGAGCAATTTTAAAATTTACGCTGGGCCGGGGCCTGGTTGGCCACCCCTCCACTTCCGCCACTGGATTAATTAGAACTAGATCTCATCTTCTATCACATTGCCTTTGGAGGATTGAATCTCAAATTTTAGTAGAACATCTTGAAAAGTTGGAATGTTAAGCTTAAAGAGGATGGTTTGAGCTACTTTTCACACTAGTATTGTACCCGTGCGATGTACGGGATAATAATGTACCTGTGTTTTACGTTTCTCGATTATTCAAATATTATCATAAGAATAAAATTAGGTTAAATAAAAGTGAAAACATAATTTACTAATAACTGAATTATTTTAAATATTGAATTGTAGATTTGTACAACCTAATTTATGATTATTTCTCTATATATTAACTATACAATTAATTTATTTAGCTATAATAATAATAATAATAATAATAATAATAATAATAATAATAATAATAATAATAATAATAATAATAATAATAATAATAATAATAATAATAATAATAATAATAATCAAGGAACCCGCGGTACAATGCATATCTTATTCTGGTTACCTAATTTTAGAATCGTGAACCGATACAGTTGTTTAACTTCAATTCAGTTCAAAAGTGAGAATATCCCTTGATATACCTACATAGTGTGGGTATATCACACGGTGATGAGATCTTATCATGTATGGACTGGAGTATGAAATAAAAATTGATATTGGGGAATGAATGTCTGATACATTTTATAAAAATTAATTCCACTTTTGGTCCTATGAGTCTTATGTTAATTCCATATTTAGTCCATTTTTACACTTTATCCACTTTTGGTACTTGACTACAATAGTCATGTACCAAAAGTGATTAAAGTCAAAGACGTGAACTAATTATGGAATTTGAGTGATACTCGTACGATCAAAAGTGGAATTTATTCCACTAAAAAACGTGCACTCAAGTTTCCAAAATTAAGTAGATAAATAAATTTTTAATAAATTAAAGTGGAGTACAAATGGATTATTAATTTCAGTATCACTCGGGTAAGTTCAAATTGTTTAATTTTTTGAACCTGGTTTGTCAAAATACACAATTTCAAATATATGTGTGTGTCTTGTATTCATGTATGTTCTTTAATCGTTTTTTTTTTGTTTTAAGGAATTTATGCATGTTTTCAACTTAATTTTCAACATAACACTTTTGATCCCTCAATTAGTTATCATATTGAAATTCAAACGCGTGCTTCTAAGATTATAAATGTTAGTCCTAAATTGACATATGTGTTGTAAATGTCATCTTCAGCGAATGACTTGTATCATAGAATTGGATCATAAATGACAGGATGACATTACAACACATCTATCTATTCAGGGATAACATTTATAATCTTAGATACACGCGTATAACATTTCAATATGGCGACTAATTGAGGGATCAAAATGCGATTTTCTCATATAGTCGCCATATTGAAATGTTATACACTTCTACACACTTAATGATTTTCTCATATAGTCGCCATATTAGAAATATTGACACAGCAAAATCATTTACACACTTAATGATTTTAACGAACATTTTGAATTTATAAGGAGTATCTCATTACACGTTGGGACATATATTTCCTAAAGACACATACAACTAACATTTTGACTATGCCCACTTGGATATCTACTCATGCATGGGCGTTGATATTAATAATGAATGGATGAAACCAAACTACAAAGTTCCATTATATTTCTTACTGCATGTATTGATATTGTGATTATGTGATCCCACTCAAAAAGATCCATTGCATTAGAGAGGCTGAAACATGAACAAATTGTTAGTAATACTAAATTACTAACCTATTAATTATAGGCTATAATTACAAAGAAAAAAAAAACTAAATTACTAACACATACGGAGCAATTACAAACATACCTGTTGGACACATGGACAACGATTAATGTCAGACGGTCCAATTGGTGGAGTAGTTTCTTCTTGAAGCAAATGGTTTTGTCTTAAACTTCCATATCATTCGCGCGTCCTGATTTTATTTGTATCAGTTGCAATTTACAGTTTATGTTATTAGGGCAAAACTGCCCCTCCGAATAACTTTTGAACGGTTGTGCAGATTAAAGGTTTTTTTATTAAAACTGTCGTACGTACTTTAGGCGTGGGGTAGTTTTGTCCCGGTTTCCCTTTTTATATTAGTATAGATATACGAGATAAAATATGAATTTGTTTCTAACTATCTTAATAATGTAAAAAAAGTTTCAATTATATTTTTAAAATTCTTATACTCCGTAATTTTTAGTAAATATACCACATAATTTTTACTCCCTCCGTCGCTTAAATTCTTCCCATTTTTCTTTTTGGGATGGCCCAAAATTCTTCTCAATTACTCCCTCCGCGGCTCCGGTCCCCTAAGTTTGGGACAAAGGGGTGTGGTGTGGTTTTTAAGAAAAAGTAGAATTGTGTGGTTGATATTGAATTGATAAAGTGTGAATAAAAAAAACCTTTAATCTGCACAACCGTTCAAAAGTTATTCAGAGGGGCAGTTTTGCCCTAATAACATAAACTGTAAATTGCAACTGATACAAATAAAATCCAGGACGCGCGAATGATATGGAAGTCTAAGACAAAACCACTCAATATCAATTCAATTCAATATCAATTTGATATTGAATTAATAAAGTGTGAATAAAGTAAAAATGAATTCTAACCACTCAAATATTACCAAATATGGTATGGGACAAATTTAGTGATACAGACGAAAAAGGTAAAATGAGACAAACTTATGGGGACGGAGGTAATATCTTTTTAGAAAATTTTGCGTGATTCAATTCATTTACCTTTTTCCTATCCAATCAAAACTATTCATTTCCACTTTATTCCAAGTCAAATTGGAAAAAAATTTGATACACTCCAAGCCCAAGTAATATTCCAGGGGATCCTCAGTGAAGCCATGCCAGTGCAAGAGCCTTCACTGGAAAATTCCCAGAACAATTTGCACTCTTCTCCTTCGCTGGAAGACCGCAGCGTCCATCGGTGACTAGAGTAGTCGCCAGCCGTCCCAAGAGTCGCCAGACCCAATCCCGTCCCTTGATGTTGGTAGATTCCATCCATTTCTCACCGGCCGTCGGTTGGCTGAGTCGCTGCTTCCAATTTCCTTCGGTGGAAATATGATGAACCGTTGAGTGCACACATGGACTTCCAGATAGGCTAGATCAGAGCTCCTATTTTAATTTTAATCTATTGCATATTAGTTTTATATTAAATGTAGCAGTTATTTTAATATGTCTCCTACTTTGTAGGAGTAGTTACGGTAGTGCCAATATGGACTAGGAGCAGTTATTTTCCATCTTGTATTTATGTTTGCATCGGTGAATGAAAAGAGAGACTTTGGACGCTCAACTTCTTCTTCTTCTTCATTGTTTTCTCTTTTTCTCTTGAAACATTATGCTTCTTATAGTTCCTTCTTATAGTTACCCAGACCTGGGTTCTATCAATTGGTATCAGAGCCATGGATACACGTGGAAAATCCAACGCCGAATTCCGTTCGGAGATGCAAGAGGCCATCGCACGCCATGATAATCAATTTGCTCAAATTGCAGCCACTCTACAGGCTATCAACACCGAGTTACAAGCAAGTCGGATTGCCAGGGAACACCCAGACCTTCACATGGAGAATCCGTTTGCTGACGACCACACACGACATGGTTCTCGCCTTCATGAACCCAAGGCGCGATTTCCAAGGTTCAGTGATGGGGACCCAACTGG